TCAAGGTTAGGGGCTGGAGAATTTCCCACGGGTGCAGTCCTCCCTGCAATGACCAGCTATTTTTAAAAACCGAGTGCCTGTGATGGAGTGAAGTGTACACAACTGGGTGACAGATTTGCAACCTAAAGTCACATCCGCACCATGCTTTTATGGTGCTACGATGCCACGTTAAACAGTCATGGCTTCCCCCAACCAATTCTGGGAGTTGTACTTGAGAGCTGTTGGAAGGCCCCTCTTCCGCTAACAGCGCTACAACTCTCCGAGTTTCCTGTGAAGAGGGATTTATTATTACACCAGCCACAGCTCTGGGAGGGAAATAGGGACCTCCTAACCATTTTCATGGATATGGAACAACTGATTGGTTCAAAATTGGGAAAGGAGTACGACAAGGTTGTATTTTGTCTCCCTGCTTATTTAATTTATATGCAGAATACATCATGCGAAAGGCTGGGCTGGATGAATCCCTAGCCGGAATTAAGATTGCTGGAAGAAATATCAACAACCTCAGATATGCAGATGACACAACCTTGATGGCAGAAAGTGAGGAGGAATTAAAGAACCTTTTAATGAGGGTGAAAGAGGAGAGCGCAAAATATGGTCTGAAGCTCAACATCAAAAAAACGAAGATCATGGCCACTGGGCCCATCACCTCCTGGCAAATAGAAGGGGAAGAAATGGAGGCAGTGAGAGATTTCACTTTCTTGGGCTCCATGATCACTGCAGATGGTGACAGCAGCCACGAAATTAAGAGACGCCTGCTTCTTGGGGAAAAAGGTCCGTTCTTAACCTGAAACTGTTCTTAACCTGAAGCACCACTTTAGAAGAAGAAGAAGTTTGGATTTGATATCCCACCTTTCACTCCCTTTAAGGAGTCTCAAAGCGGCTCACATTCTCCTTTCCCTTCCTCCCCCACAACAAACACTCTGTGAGGTGAGTGGGGCTGAGAGACTTCAGAGAAGTGTGACTGGCCCAAGGTCACACAGCAGCTGCATGTGGAGGAGCGGAGACGCGAACCCGGTTCACCAGATTACGAGTCTACTGCTCTTAACCACTACACCACACTGGCTCTAATGGGGCCTCCTGCTGCTGCAGTGCCACCAGAGCACGATTTCTGTTCTCATCCTGAAGCAAAGTTCTTAACCCGAGGTACTGTTTCTGGGTTAGCGGAGTCTGTAACCTGAAGCATATGTAACCTGAAGCGTATGTAACCCGAGGTACCACTGTAATGGCATATACAGGAAGCCCGCAACTTATGCAGGGGTTATGTTCTGGGGATTGCATCTAAAGCCAAAACTGTGTATAGTCAGGGCTTTTTCTTCAGCAGGAACTCTCTGGAACTCAGTTCCGGCACCTCTCAGGTGGGCGCCATTCCCATTATTAGAGAACAAGAGAGGCGTTCATGGTGAGTTCCGGCACCTCTTTTTCTAGAAAAATAGCACTGTGTATAGCCAAACCTCATTTTTCCTAGAACCCTTTCTGCCCTCTTTTTAATTGTTTTATAAATTTTTGCCACACGCGTAAAGCTAAATGCGCACAAGTTAAATGCATGCAAATTGTGGGCTTACTGCAATAGTTTTGCTCAGGTCTGAGTTTTATTTACTTATCTGAACAATTTATATGCCACTTAATTATAATCAACTCTAATCAGGGTGCAAAAAGATAAAAACCAGATAAAACTATAAAACCAGAATTTCGTTAAAATGCCTGCGGAAATAGAAAGCCTTCAATAGGCCTGATGTCATCTTGTGCTACTTTTACACTGCTAAACTTTTGTTTTGAGAAGCTGTGATGGCTAGGTACAAATAAACTGATCTGATCCAATGGCCTTACAGGGGCTCCCTTAGATAGGCATGTGTATTACCGTATTTTTCGCCCTATAGGACACACTTTTTCCCCTCCAAAAATGAAGGGGAAATGTGTGTGCGTCCTATGGGGCGAATGCAGGCTTTCGCTGAAGCCTGGAGAGCGAGAGGGGTCGGTGCGCACCCATCGCCAGCCCCATAAGCTCGGGGGACAGCGGGGCAAGCCGCTGCCCCACGGAGGCTAGAGAGGCTGTCCCTGAAGGCAGAAGGGGGAGACGGAGCGCTTCCTCTCCCTCTTCTAGCTTGGGGATGGCTGCGCAAACCTGGGGGGGAAATAAAAAGTTTTTCCTTGATTTCCCCCCCAAAAGCTAGGTGCGTTCTATGGGCTGGTGCGTCCTATAGGGCGAAAAATACGGTACTTTAGTTGTGAAGCACACAATTCACATTCCCACCCCCCATTCCACACTTTACAAGGGTGTCTACATTCCTGATGTGTTAGACCAGATGTTTGTGTCTCTCCAGATGTTGCTACACTACAACTCTAATCAGCCCCAGTCAGCCTGGCCAGTGGTCGAGGAAAATGTGATTTGCAGAAATACTCCGAGCATGCGCAGTTTTGCATTGTAGAAACTGACATAAATCACGGCATAGTTTCTGTTGTCATGAACGGAAATAAAATGAGATTCGCTTGTGCTCACAAAAGTTATGTGTGCAGCATTAGGGAAAATTGCATAAAGGTGTGACTATTAGGGCAAATCTGTACCGTGACGCTAACAAATTTTTGCAAACTTAAATAAATTCACAGACTGGTGTGGAAATGCAGAGAATTGAACTTAAGGTAGGAAAACTGAGAGAAAGCAAAATTGATAGATTCATCTGTTCCTAGCTGGAACCACACACTGGGGCGCAAACCTGGGCCTATGAATATGAGCCTTTGCCAAACAGCTGCAGAAGCAGAAGGGGAGGGTATGATTTGGAGTGGGAAAATGGAGGTGGAGGGGGAAGTGCTTAACCCTTATCCCACCCACTACCATCCTCCTGCAACCTCCTCCTTTCAGCTCTGTTTTCCTGCAACATGGGAGGAATTTAGCATCTCACCAAGGCAATTGTTTGATGGCCAGATGGAGCAATCCTCTTCTCCATTCCCTGCATAATGTTCTGGTGGTTCTTCTGACTCCTTCCCCGCCCCCAGCCAATTTTAGGGGGGGCACATGGGGGAGGAGAGGGGGGAATAGCCCCATTGTGCAGGTGGAAGCCTTTGAACAGGGCTTCCGCTTTTGAATCCTGTGCAACGACTCACATCTGCAGTGGTGGCTGACTTAACTGTAGCTTCCTCAGGAACCAGTCATTTAGGAAATTAGAATTTCTCTATACTACCTGGGGACGCGGGTGGCGCTGTGGGTAAAAGCCTCAGCGCCTAGGGCTTGCCGATCGAAAGGTCGGCGGTTCGAATCCCCGCGGCGGGGTGCGCTCCCGTTGCTCGGTCCCAGCGCCTGCCAACCTAGCAGTTCGAAAGCACCCTCGGGTGCAAGTAGATAAATAGGGACCGCTTACTAGCGGGAAGGTAAACGGCGTCTCCGTGTGTGGCTCTGGCTCGCCAGAGCAGCGATGTCACGCTGGCCACGTGACCCGGAAGTGTCTCCGGACAGCGCTGGCCCCCGGCCTCTTGAGTGAGATGGGCGCACAACCCTAGAGTCTGTCAAGACTGGCCCGTACGGGCAGGGGTACCTTTACCTTTACCTTTATACTACTTGGATTAATAAAGTTGTATCCTGTGCTTTTTCAGGTTGCCCTTTCACTGTGTTCAAGAATGCTACACTAACTATATTTTTAATGGACATGCCTATCAATTTCAGATGAAGACAGAGACAAAATCACTGCAATGGGGGGGGGGGAGCCAGTGACCCTCTACATGTTGTTGGGACTCTCTACTGCCATGAGGCCCAGCTAGCATGGCCAATGGTCTGAGCCGATGTGTGTTGTTGTCTAAACACATCTGGAAGGCACAAGATTCTCCACCACTGCCATAAATCCTCTTAAAAGGTAAAGGTAAAGGGACCCCTGACCATTAGGTCCAGTCGTGGCCGACTCTGGGGTTGCGGTGCTCATCTCACTTTACTGGCCGAGGGAGCCAGCGTACAGCTTCTGGGTCATGTGGCCAGCATGACTAAGCCGCTTCTGGTGAACAGCGCACAGAAACGCCGTTTACCTTCCCGCCAGAGTGGTACCTATTTATCTACTTGCACTTGACGTGCTTTCGAACTGCTAGGTTGGCAGGAGCAGGGACCGAGCAACGGGAGCTCACCCAGTCGCAGGGATTCGAACCGTCGACCTTCTGATCAGCAAGTCCTAGGCTCTGTGGTTTAACCCACAGCGCCACCCGCGCCCCATATAAATCCTCTTACAGCTGCTCTTATACCTGAAGGAGCATCTCCATGCCCATCGTTCAGCCTGAGGTCCAGCTCCAAGGGCCTTCTGGAGGTTCCTTCACTGCGAGAAGTAAGGTTATAGGGAACCAGGCGGAGGGCCTTCTCAGTAGTGGCGCCCGCCCTGTGGAACACCCTCCCATCAGATGTCAAGGAAATAAATAACTCTCTGACTTTTAGAAGACATCTGTTTAGGGAAGTTTTTAATGTCTGATCTTTTATTGTGTTTTTAATATTCTGTTGGGAGCCACCCAGAGTGGCTGGGGAAATCCAGCCAGATGGGCAGGGTATAAATAAAAAAGTCATAATTATTATTGTGGTCAGCTTTCACTGCCAGTGGTCTGATTCCCACGATCCACAAATGAAATATTTCAAGCCACCCCTGGAAACATCTGTTTTGATTTTTCTCCGTGAATTGGTGCTGCTGTCTAGCATCGTCCTTGCGGCGTTTTTGCCCAAGGATTTCGCCATAATTCCCAGCTGAGCTGAGCTCAACAAGAGTCCAAGTAATGGCCAGTTGGTTTTGTGGAGGAGCTCAAGGGAGCTGGTCTGTCCTGTCTGAAAGCCAGGCTAGAAAAAACCGAAGATGCTAAATGCTGCTAGGAATTTGATTTCAGTAGTGATACATTTCAACCTTTTCTCCATTCTTTTATGAGGGGCCTGGTGCCCAAAGATCGGATCTTAGAAATTCCTGTTTTGCTTGACAGCTTCTTTTAAAAAAATCCCCCCTCAAGTAAAAATGAAAATGTCAGAAACATTGAATCCGACTTACCCAGAAGTCTATGTAGGTGGAAGAGAGTGAAGCTTAGGCACGTCCTGTATCCTGCTGCCTTCCTGCTTTCAACGGGCCTCGGCTAAAAGTTTTCTTCGGTACCAAAGTCTGAAGTGTTGTTGGTTTTTTAAAACACCAGCAGATGCATGTATTTAGATCACCCTGGGCAGCTCCTCACCATTCTGGGATGCCTGGCCTGATACAGAATCATGGGTCTCCTTTCCGATGACCGTGCGAACCTTCCTGAATTTTCCAACTTTAAAGGCGCAGCGTCCCCTGATTCAGTCTGAAGCTCCTTCCTGGCAAAGCGTATCCCAGGGAGGCCGGCGTATCGAAAGCAGGGTTGATTAAATGGAGAGCAGGAGCCAGGATTCTTCTCTACAGTCCCCTCTGCACTTTCCCTCTCGCTCTGAAAGCAGTGGTTTGGCAAGCTCTGGAGGTGGGAGAAGTTAAAAATGTTTCTTATTACTGCCTCTTCCTGCTTGGCTTCTCTCCACCACTCCCAGCTAATAAAGCATTTCCTATTGCAAAGCACAGATCTACACACACACACACACACACACACACACAGTCCCTCCCTCCCTCCCTCTCTCCCCCCAGAACACAGTAGGTAGGGTCCTGCGCAATTATTCTTCATGAATCTCCTATTTCTGACAACTAAGTGATTCTTATTGCCTCACCTTACTCTGTTTCATTCCTCCAGCTGATCAGTTCCTTCCCCCCTGTTTTCGTTTTCAGAATCCAATTGACTAATTCAGGGGGTGGGAGTGGGGCCTGTCAACAAGATCAGTCTCTGTTTCACCAGTCTGGGCAGAAAGATTACCGGTATGCCCTATTTCTGTCAGGCAACCAGAACAGTGATCTAGCCAGCCACCAAAACCCACAGTCCTGGCTACATTGTGGATAGGCTTTGTGGATGCCTTGGGCCAGCTGCCATCACCAAGTCTCTTAATCTGGAAGGACAGATGTCTGTGGACCAGACAAGGCAGTGACCTTGAAGAGAGACCCTATGTTAGTTGAGAATTGGAGTTTGCTTGGACCCCCAGAAAATGAACCACCATCTGGAGTTGCCTCTGTCCAGATTGTTCACCCACAATGCATCAGGTTCCACTCTGGCTCTGACAGTGTATCTCCAAATTTTGTCTTGGCTCTGTCCTCAGCCCAGTGGCCCTGTATTTTTGCAATCCAAAGCTGGCATTCCTTATTGACCCACCGTATCACAGGCACTAGAAGGCTGATCGCCGAAGAATTGATGCTTTTGAATTATGGTGCTGGAGAAGACTCTTGAGAGTCCCATGGACTGCAAGAAGATCAAACACATCCATTCTTAAGGAAATCAGCCCTGAGTGCTCACTGGAAGGACAGATCGTGAAGCTGAGGCTCCAGTACTTTGGCCACCTCATGAGAAGAGAAGACTCCCTGGAGAAGACACTGATGCTGGGAAAGATGGAGGGCACAAGGAGAAGGGGGCGACAGAGGACAAGATGGTTGGATAGTGTTTTCGAGGTTACCAGCATGAGTTTGACCAAACTGCGGGAGGTAGTGGAGGACAGAGGTGCCTGGCGTGCTCTGGTCCATGGGGTCACAAAGAGTCGGACACGACTAAACGACTAGACAACAACAACAACATCACAGGCACTGGCATTTATCTGCTCTGGACATGGGATTGATAAGCGAATTTTGGCAATCGCCACCATTCTTTTTAAAGGACCAGTAGAACCAACCAGCCGCATCTCATGACCGTTCTGCTTCCATAGCTTCGCTAATTTTTGCATAAGTCAACTCTGGAGACTAAATATAAAGCTGACCAACATTCTTCACTGTGGGATGAATGTCAATGCCACACTGCAGCAACTCTTACAGAGCACTGTTTGATTGATTGATTGATTGATTGATTGGTCAATTGATCGACTGCACTTCTAAGCCACTCTTACTCAGTAAAGATCCCAGGGCGGTTCACAAATAAATAAAACAGGCCAACAAAACACAAGTAAAATCCAAAACCCTAAACCAAACACCCACCCACAATTTCCAGCTGTACAAACAGCTGTCAAAGGAGATTTCCAACATGAAAGGGCTTTGAAAAAGCTACTACATATATATAACTGGGACTGCAACAATTGGTTTTCAGTTCCCTCATCCAGTATTATGAGATGGTTTCTAGTGGTCTTCTTTGAAGATGGGCACTTGGAAGAACACTTTTTGGCAAATTTAAGCTATGCGTACTGTACCATTAATATGTGACCCTAAATTCTTGCACACTTACCTTTTACAGTGGTACCTCAGGTTACATATGCTTCAGCTTGATGTTGATACCAGGATAGATCGTAAACAGTCTGTCTGTTAGCACTTAGAAAATGATGCAGTGATAGTAATAGATCCAGCATAGGTTTCTCAAAACCAAGTCATGCCAGATGAATCACATTTCCATTTTTTTTATTAAGCTTGGGGGAGCAAGGGAATGCTGTGGAAGGAGCTTTCAGTAAGGCTTTTGACAAAATCAGCCATGGTATTCTTGCAGAGGAGCTGGTAAAATGTGGTCTGGATGAGGTCATTTTTAGGTGGATTTGTAGCTGGTTGACTGACTGAACCCAAAGACTGCTCACTAATAGTTCCTTGCCATCCTGGAAAAAAGTGGTAAGTGGGGTTGCGACACAATTCTGTCCTGGGCCCATGGTTGTTCAACGTCTTTGTAAATGACTTGGATGACTAGCTAGTGCTATTCTAGGCTGCATCAACAGAAATACAGTGGTACCTCAGGTTAAGTACTTAATTCGTTCCGGAGGTCCGTACTTAACCTGAAACTGTTCTTAACCTGAAGCACCACTTTAGCTAATGGGGCCTCCTGCTGCTGCCGCGCGCTGGAGCACGATTTCTGTTCTCATCCTGAAACAAAGTTCTTGAAGCACTATTTCTGGGTTAGCGGAGTCTGTAACCTGAAGCGTATGTAACCCGAGGTACCACTGTATAGTGTTCCGATCGATGGAAGTGATAGTTTTGCTCTCTTTTGCCTTGATCAGAATACACCTGGAGTACTGTGTCCAGTTCTGGACAGCACAGTTTAAAAAGGATGTTGACAGGATGTTGAACGTGTGCAGAGGGCAACCAAGATGATTAAGGGTCTGGAAACCAAGCTTTATGAGGAACAGTTAATGGAACTGAGTATGTTTAGCCTGGATAACTGTTTATGGCTAAGATATGGCCTGAGACGAGATATAATAGCCACCTTCAAATATCTAAAGGGCTGTCACATGAAAGATGGAGCAAGCTTGTTTTCTCCAGTGTGCTGGTTTGCCATTTGACTGCACATTTATCTCAATGACTGGACTAGTATGTTCTGTTGTGTGCCACTTGGATTAAATCAGTATATCCAGTGCTTTTCCTCCCTAAAAAAAATGTTTAGGGGTACTGTCATTTTCCTACTCATATTGAAATACTGCCCCTCAATAAGGCCAAACTTAGATTCACAAAATGTTTGGGGTTATGCATCCCCCTGCGTCGTCCCCCCCACCTGTGAAAAAAAGCACTTAGCATATCTGATATAAAATAAAGACTATGCACATATTTATTGGAATGTATGAGAGTCTGAAGTGGTGGTTGTTTTCAAACCACGTTTTGAAGTTGCTTTCAAGTGTCGAAAAATTCAAATTTTCATAGAATCATAGAGTTGGAAGAGACCACAAGGGCCATCGAGTCCAACCCCCTGCCAAGCAGGAAACACCATCAGAGCACTCCTGACATATGGTTGTCAAGCCTCTGCTTAAAGACCTCCAAAGAAGGAGACTCCACCACACTCCTTGGCAGCAAATTCCACTGTCGAACAGCTCTTACTGTCAGGAAGTTCTTCCTAATGTTTAGGTGGAATCTTCTTTCTTGTAGTTTGGATCCATTGCTCCGTGTCCGCTTCTCTGGAGCAGCAGAAAACAACCTTTCTCCCTCCTCTATATGACATCCTTTTATATATTTGAACATGGCTATCATATCACCCGGGGACGCGGGTGGCGCTGTGGGTAAAAGCCTCAGCGCCTAGGGCTTGCCAATCGAAAGGTCGGCGGTTCGAATCCCCGTGGCGGGGTGCGCTCCCGTTGTTCGGTCCCAGCGCCTGCCAACCTAGCAGTTCGAAAGCACTCCCAGGTGCAAGTAGATAAATAGGGACCGCTTACTAGCGGGAAGGTAAACAGCGTTTCCGTGTGCGGCTCTGGCTCGCCAGAGCAGCGATGTCACGCTGGCCACGTGACCCGGAAGTGTCTCCAGACAGCGCTGGCCCTCGGCCTCTTGAGTGAGATGGGCGCACAACCCCAGAGTCTGTCAAGACTGGCCCGTACGGGCAGGGGTACCTTTACCTTTATCATATCACCCCTTAACCTTCTCTTCTCCAGCCTAAACATGCCCAGCTCCCTTAGCCGTTCCTCATAAGGCATCGTTTCCAGGCCTTTGACCATTTTGGTTGCCCTCCTCTGGACACGTTCCAGTTTGTCAGTGTCCTTCTTGAACTGTGGTGCCCAGAACTGGACACAGTACTCCAGGTGAGGTCTGACCAGAGCAGAATACAGTGGCACTATTACTTCCCTTGATCTAGATGCTATACTCCTATTGATGCAACCCAGAATTGCATTGGCTTTTTTAGCTGCCGTGTCACACTGTTGGCTCATGTCAAGTTTGTGGTCAACCAAGACTCCTAGATCCTTTTCACATGTACTGCTCTTTTTTTGACAGAATGCAGAAAAAGGACAAATAGTCAATTTACGTAAGCTGCCAGTGACATGACAGGAGTGGAAATAAAAGGGTCAGAATGGAATAGCTCCTCTGAAATGTCCTGCTGTGAGAAGATGTGGGGACAGACTCTTTCCAGAAACTGCAGAGTTATTTAAGAATAGGTTGTTAAACTCCCCTTATCCTGCTTCCCAAATGTGTGGGTTGATACATATCAACTGAGTTTACCAGAATGCCGCTCAGTTTTTAAAGGGCTGTTTCATTATCTTAGCCAACGACTTTTTGGATGGGAAAGAAAACTTCGTTGAGTCTGCATCCCTCAATTGGAAATAAACAGTTTTGATCTGATAAAAAGCAGGTCTGTTGCCATGCAGGCAGGAAAAGGAAGTCCCCTCCTTGCAGGAAATGTGTCTTGGAATACCTTTTGCTAATCGCTTGAGCCATCTTTCCTCCTTCTTGGAAATCTCAGCTGCCCACCCCTTCATAATGGAGTCAGTTGGTCCCGGTCTATTTCTGAATCCATCTTTCATTACTGCTCCTTTTAACAGTGGAAGTGCATTTTTCAGCACAACCTCGTGACATCCGTAGTTGTCCCCCCTCCTTTTAAAGGATTATGTTGTGCAAGATTTCTCTCTTTTCTGTCTCCTCACTACCTCACTTTTCGTTCTTTTTAGTGTAACCCCCCCAGCACTCTAAAACCACAAGACAGAGAGAAGTGGAGTTGCTCTTTGTCAGATACCGACAGAAACTCATCACGTGAAGCTTCCTTGTCACCCAGCATGAAGTTTCGGCAATGAGAAAGCTTTATCTGTTAAATTAGGAGCAATT